ATCAGCCACAACATAATAAAAACTCTCCCCACATCTCAAGGAGCTGAACACTTAGTCAAACAGTGAACTGCATTTTGTTTCACAGCTAACCCGAATGAGGACTTCAGTTCCTTCTTGGCTTCTTGTGAGCAGTTGAGGGTGGGGGGTGTGACTCTGTCATACCTGATTCCTCCCAGATGTCAGATAGCTGTTCTTTCCCAAATCCTCAGGTTCAGGCAAATCATGAGTCATTTCTCCTCTACACACTGAGCTTCCACAGCAAATTGTCCTGAATTCTTCTGGGGTCTTCATAAAAAAGCAAATAATACGTTGAAAACCAAGAAACTAACTGTAAGGAAGTGAAATGAAGAAACAGAATTATCAATATTTCACTCACCAAGTCACTAAATTGATTCAGTCCCATGTAGAAGCTGGTCTTTCCCTGCTCATAGTCTGCATTGTGTGCCTCAATTTTCTTCTTAGTCTCCTCCCACACTGCTCTTCTGTGTCTTTCTTCATCCTGAAAATGAGTACAACAGATAGAATTTCTCATCTTAACACCACACACAAGCTGAGGAAATGGTGTGTAGTGACAGAAGAGCCATAGGATGTGATCTCATGACACTGATGCCAGCAATTCTCCTCACCCAGAGGATCATCAAAGCTGCCCACCTTGCATTCATAATTCATGTCTTTAGGAAAGTCCTTAGTGATGGCTTGTCTTTATGGCCACATTGTTGCCCACAGACTACCAACAGCAAGAGCCCTTCTTTCTGAGATCCCTCTGGACTGTGCCCATGTTACCAACCGGGCTGTAGATTTTTGAAAATTTCTTCTTCCATTCCTCCCACTTGGCATCCAAACTAGGATCAGAGGATGGGGCAGCGGAGGCCATTCCCAAGCAGAGGATGAGCAGGAAGACAGCAGTATTTGGGTTCTCAAAACCTAGAGAATGGGTAGTTGTCCAACACCATAATCAGCACCAAAAGATACACACAAGTAATGTTATATACACTGTTTAGGCTCTATTTAGCAATATATATGTATGTGCATATATGTGTGTAATAACAATGAATGAAAAAAGAGGACAGAATTTAAAAAGTATTAGAAAGAGTATTTCTGAGGATGTGAGGGAAAAAGGAGAGGAGAGCGAAGATGTAATTCTATTATACAAAAACCTAAGAGACAATCAAGAAAACAAAGTAAAAACAAAACAGAAAATAAAACCTAAAAAACAAAAGTCTCAGGTACTAGAGCAGAGCTAAGAGCAAGTTTGTAGACAATCTGTTAGCAGGGTGGAGAGCCTGTGTACCTTGCTTGTCTCTGCTCCCACCTGAAGTGCTGCAACTCCTGTTCACAAATGGAAACCAGAACTATGTTGTCCAGGGCCTCCTAAGAGCAGCTGACAAAGGAGGCTGGTGGTGCGTGAGCAGAGCAGCCTGTGGCTCCACCCTTTCCTCCCTGGAGCACTGTCTATCTCTTTCCTGAAGCCTCAGCCTGGCCCACAGAGCAGAGGTCACAAACCAGTTTTACTACTGAGTTAAGTATCACAGACAGGAAGCATCTGGAGACTAAGCAGACCCCCCAGGTACAAGCTGAATTATACAGGATGTGGCTTTGGTGACTCACAGGATGTCTTCTTTTCTATAGTTAGCAATTGCTAGAGAACAAAATTATGATAGGATGAAGTCAGTGAGGACAGCTCATGTGTCTCATAGTCCTGCCTCAGATTCTGCATCTGTAGAGAGAGCATCAAGCAGTGTGTACCTGTCTGTGTTTGTCTTGCTTGAAGCACAGCTTATGACAGACAGAAGCATCTTCAGAGAGGATGAAATAACCATCCCAAACCAGAGTAGTCTGAAACAATTATCGCTGTACCTGAACATTGGTGTCTCAGCTCAGGGCTTCACAGTGTTTAGGAAAAGTGCTAGAGTTGCTCAAACCAAACAACACATGCCTGACTCATACTAAGCTATGTGGCCTGCAGGGCTTAATGGGACAATTGCAGGGTTTGACTGGACATGAGGAAATTGCTGTGTGGACTTTTCTATTACTCTGACAAGCACAGCTGGGCATATGATTACAAGACAGAATTTACAAAAGTCAGAAAGGACTACAGTTGCTCTGGCTGGGAAAATACAGAGGATATAAACTTCTATATGTGTCAAAAGTTTGTTTCCATTATCGTATGAATGGGTAAATCAGTAGATGCATGGCCATTTTCCTCTGATGTTCTCCAGAGTTGCACCAAATTCTTGTTTGTCTGATAATTGAGATTTAAAGATTTTTGGATGTTTGTTACAGGCAGAATTGGATAGATAGATGAGCACTTTCCTAAAAAAATGCATATGCTCCCCCAAGTCAAACTGGATAAAAATTGACATACACAGAATAGTAGCAGCACAGCTTAGTTCTACATTACAGTTAAATGAAAGGAATCTCTTCACGTGTGTGGTCAAGGTATAGTGGTCTTTGGTTAAGCTTTACTGCTACATTCTTTGAGCCACATTCTCCAAAACTGACCATACACTTGGACACAAAGCAATTCTCAATAGATGTACAAAAAAATTGAAATAACACCCCCATCCTTTCCGAGCACCGTGGAGGAAAGCTGGATATCAAAAGCAACAGAAAGCTTATAAACTTATGGCAACTCAACAACTTACTAGAGACTGAAAATGGGTCAAGATATGTAGTGGGAGATATTTAACTCTCCAACCCAAATATTACCGGTCAATGAAAACACAACTCAGTAATTATGAATATATTCTGCAAGCTTAGATTGGGCAGATATCCCTACACTACTCTGTTCCACAGCTATGAGACCCTTATAACTTGAGGATTTTCCAGACCCTGCATCTGTCCTTTCACTTCCTGCTTCCTAGCTGTTCTCTCCTTTGTCGTCTTCCTTCTCCATTGTCTTCCTCCAGTCCTTCCCTCTGCTCTCTTCCACCAACCTTTATTGTCCACCTCCACTTCCTCTGCCCAATCACTGGCTCCAGCCTTTATTTTACAAATTAAAATGGGCAGAAGATTTGCTAGAATTCACCTGTGTAATGACTCACATTTCCTCTGCAGCCCTTCACAGGAAAGGGGAATTAGTATTAAAATACAAGGCCAGGTCTATCCACAACAAAGATAGACATCAAAAAAGAAATCAAAATGTTATTATATTTAAATAAATTATATAACACACTCAAAGTTATGGGACACAAATGAAAGTGAATCTAAGAACACTAAGCTCATAGCACCAAGTGCTTACATAAAAATTTGAGTGATCTTATTCTAACAATTAAATAGTACACCTGAAAGATCTAGAATAAAAAGAATAATTCCCAAAAGGAGTAGATGGCAAAAAACATCATCAATTGTTGAAGAAATTCAAGAAGACATTGGTAAGATCTGTTATGCTCATGGATTGCTAGGATTTGTATAGTGAGAATGCTTATTCCATCAAAAGCACTCTACTGACTTAGTGCAATCCCTATCAAAATTCTAACACAATTCTTTACAGATCTTGAAAATCTTTTCAGTACTTCTAATCTGACTCAAGGCACAGACTAAGGGAATCTCAAGACTTGGGAGACATAGGACAACTTCTTACTGCCCAATAAACAGCAAGAATTCTGCTATGTTTCATAAATATTTGATAATAATTTAATTATAAATACTATTCATTATTATCATATTAATGAATATATATTTATTAGAATATATTGTAAAAGGGCTGGAAACTCAGGATTGCTGTGTGAAAAGTATTTTTCCCACAGGGAAGAACTCAACAATTGGTTATTTGATATCAAAAAGTCAGATCTGAAAACATATATACAATTACCATTATACCAACTTTAGTACTTTGCTTTTACATACTTTGGAATACATGAAACAACAATTAATTAAAAAAAAAGGGGCAGTAAATTGGGAGAAAGGAGAGGTATATGAGAGGGTTTTCAGGGAGGAAAGGAAATGGGCAAATGATGTAATTAGAATCTCATAAAATGAAGTAGAAGGAGGTCCCCTGCACAAGTGCAGTGAGGTCTAACAGAATAAGGAGAGGTCACTTTGCACTGAGTGCAAACAATTTTTACTTATCAAATCCATGTGGATTAAAATCATTGAATTCTAGCAATTTTCAAATAGATTTTCAGATCATTGTTAAGGGAGTGCACCTAAGGCCCTGGAAACAAAACTTAATCAAGGATGGTATACTGATTCTACACTAAAACGACCACTTACATTCTTCTCCAAACACCACCACACAGTCAATTATGCCTTCACACATAACTATGTGTTAACCACCTAAAAATTTACCTCCACAAAACCAGAAAGAAACCAGAGCACTGCCTTTTTAATAAAGCTTTATTTTAAAGACATAGACTTGTATATTCTTCTTGAAAGTAAAATTAAAAAAGTATTTTGAGAATCATTAACACAAATGAGTTGAGAGCATGGGATAAGGTATTGATAAGGTTTTATTAGTGTGAACGTGGCTTGGAGTTCATATCACAGTATGATCTTAAGGGACTTGAGTGTAGGATCCCACACGTCAGGGGCTGGCTTCTGAGTTGGGGAGGCCCCTGCTGCTGTTTTCTTCCCCTTACCCCAGTTCAGATCTTCTTTTTCACCATCAGACAATTCACATGTTGGGGCAGACATCTCTTAGACAATGGCACAGTGGCTGTCTCACTCATTGCCTACCTTTATACTGCTGTTCATGTTACTCTGGCTGGAAGGAAAACACATGTCTCATTAATTAGAAAAAATGTAGCCCAGTGGCTTTATTATAGTAACTCCCCTGGAACTTCTGTCCTTCAAGAGCACTAGCCAAGCCTAAAGCTCAGCAAGAAGTACATGTACCATGAGCAAGAAGGAAAGGTAGTCACCTACAAACACATATCAACAATTCATAGAGCAGAATACTCAGACAGTGGGCTGCATGTTGTCCCATAGCTGACATAAGTAAGGACTTCAGTTCCTCCTCAGATTCTTTGTGGATAACTGAGGATGGGAATGTAACACTGTCATACCTGATCCTGTACAGGAATCTCATCACCACTCTCTATCCAATCCTCAAATTCCTGTGTTTGGTTTTTCTTCTCTTCAAACTTTGGGTGAAAAACGTTAGTCATTATTTTCATGAGTTCTTCATCAGCCTTCATGGGAAAAGTAAATAAAATGTTGACAACTAACAGACTAACTGTAAAGATCTGAAGAGAAGAAATAGAGTTAAGTCCTCCAGGTCACACTTACCAGCTGACCGAAGGCACTCATTTCTATGTTGAAGCCATCCATATCCTTGTCATTTTTGCTATTGTGTAGTTTGATAGTCTTTATAAACTCATCCCATGACACTGTTTTGGGTCCTTCTTTATCCTAGAAATAAACATAAGTGACAGTGTTTCCTTCATATTAATTCAACGCTTAAGCCCACTAAGTAGATTTGCTGTGACAGGTGAACAAGAGCCATGGGGATGGATCTCAGTACACTATAGCTAGCCATTATCTGTATTCTGCATTTCAGAAATGTTGGCCACCTTGTGTACATAGTACACAACTTTAAGCAACTCCTTGGTGACGGTTGACCCTTATGACCTCCTTTATGCCTATCTACTCTTAATAGCAAGCACTATTCTCTTTGAGATCCCTTTGGACATTTCTCATGTGATCAACCAGCCTGTCAGTTTCCTCATACGTTACCTTCTGCTCTCGCAATTCAGCATCTGAACCAGGATCAGGGACTATAGCAGCTGAAGCCACTCCCAGGCACAGGATGACTAGGAAGACTGTAGGAGTCATGTCTCAAGTACCTAGAGGAAAAAAAGAGAAATCTCTGTCAAAATATTTCAAAGCTACTTTTTTTTTTAATTGAGAAATTAAGGCAGCCATGGTGGATCAAGACTGAACTATTTCAAGTATTTATCTAAACAACATGGAAAAGGCTAAGGATGTGGTTTACTTGAAGAAAATATATCGAGGTATTTGTTAGCTGCTGATGGCTCTAGGGATGGAAATAGTTAAGTAGCGTGAGCTTCAGTTTTGAGATGGATGTTCATATACCTGATGATTCCAAAAGCTAATGCTGTAACTGAGGACTTAAGGCAGAATTGGCCTAGGATTTGTAAAGACTAATGAAATGTCAAGATCTGAAGGACATTGAACATCATCTTCCTGTCTATTTCACAACAGGAGCTACCCTGTGTCTTGGACTCTCCCCTCTTGAATGATAAGAGTCTAGTCTGTTCTTCCTGGAGAAACTAGGAATAACAGCATCTGCTGATCCCTCTGACTCACTACTGTCACTGTGACTCCTGACTTTCCACTCACTGCCACAGAGAGGAAGGAGTTCACAAGGTCATGCAGTTGGATAAAAAGGAGACCACTCCCAGGATTTTCAGCTCAAGACTTTCTAGGTCTTTTGTTTAACTCCCTCAGAAAATGCTAAGTCAGAAGCATGCTGCATGGTATTCCTTCTGCACAGAGGATTTAAATTGTGTTGGTATGGGAAAAATGATCCTAACTGGGTGCAGCTGCCATTGTTCAGTAGACCAACTGGCACTCCCTGTGACAAGGCTCAGACACCCACAGGGATTTAGCATAAAGTTGCATGCCTGAGTGGCCTGGTTGGCTCTTTGGATCTTCCACTCATCCTCCCTCTGCTTCTCTACACCAAGGCTCCTGATGGTAAGATTTTCTCATTCTGTCTTACTCTCCAGGGAGTTTCTCCAGGGCAGTTCTCCAGTTCCTAATCTGCTTTGTCAGAGCCAGGGTTTTACCTGTGATGTCCAAGACTGTGTTGTACACTCGAAAGATTCAGCTCTTTAGAGTTCCCTGGAGATACAGAATCTAGCTGAGCTGCACACCGCTCAGTCTTTAAATCCCTAATTTCTGGCTACTAAGCACCACCCATAAGTCCTACCGTCTTTATGATTGGTTGTGTTAATGACACCATTGGGCCCCAGGCTCTAGGACTCCAGGCATTTATGAAATTGAAAGATGAAGTGTTCATTGCTGCAGTGGACTATGGGGAAGATTTGTAAGAGTCTGTTTTAGAGAAAGGTTGGAAATGAGCATTGAAGTCCTTGGCTCATTTAGGACCCTGATAGTGTGCTTTGTGGGCTGTTTAAGAAAAAGTGGTTCTAGGTAATTTTGAGTGGCTTTTCAGTCCAACCACAGTTTTGACGTGGGACAAAAAACACCCTGCAGCAGTATGAGTCAGCATATTCAAGTCTAATGTCTCTTGGTGGAAATACAGACACTAGGATATTTCCCCAGGATCTGGGTTGCATCCAGGTGGGTTTCACAAAAATGCTTAGGAGAGTGGATAGAGAACTGGCTTTGCAGTTAAGAGCACTTACTGATCTAGCAGAAGACCTGATTTAGTTTCCAAGACTCACTTGGAGCTCCCAGTTGTCTTCAACTAAAGTTTCATGGAATACGATGTCCTATTTTTTTCCCTCTTTGAGCACTAGACACACCAGTGAAGCAGGTAAAACATACATAAAAGTAAAACAACGTTAAATAAAAGTTGTTTAGAAAAACTGGAAGAAGCTGAGGAGGAAGGCAGCCCCAGCAGTCTTAACTGACCTGGACCCCTGAGATCTCTCAGATACCGAGTGACCAAACAAACAGCATACACTAGCTGATATAAGCTCCCCAACACATATACAGCAGAGGACTGCCTGGTCTGGCCTCAGTGAGAGAAGATACATCTACCCCTCAAGAGACTTGAGGCCCCAGGGAGTCAGGAGATCTGGTGAGGTGGGGGTATGGCTGTGGGGACATCCTCTTGGAGATGGAGGGGAGGAGGTATGGGATGGGGAGTGGTCAGGGGGCAGAGCAGGAGGGGGATGAAGACTGGACTATAAAAAGGATTAAATAATAATAATGGTAATAATAATTATAATTATAATAATTATAATAATAAAATGAGAATAGTTAGGGTAAGGCTGTCTTGAAACAAAGAACAGATAGTCAAGGGCAAATCCTTGGGTGGGACAGGGGATGAAAGGGCTAGATGAAGGTCTCCTAAGATGCTTCCACAGCTGATCCTTCCTCTCAGTCTCCTCACTCAGAGATACTTTATCCTCTCACACCTTTAGTGATTGATTTGTGATATAGGAATCATTTACTTAAAAGGCTTTGCTGATAAATGGATAAGGGAAAATGAGTAATACGAAAATTTCTTCAGTTTCTCTTTCTGGGTTTTGCTTATGGAAATCTCATGTTCATCTTGAGGTTTAAGTCAGGACACTTCTTAAACCTCAATGTTAAAATGTAAAACAAGGAGAACATCAGAGTGTTTCTGATAGAAAAAAAAACCACAGGTACATAACCATAAACAATAGCTATTACAATCCAAGATTTATAAAGAGGAGAACATGGCCCATTGAATCAACTAAGTAGGGCTTACATGGGATCAAGGCGGCTGAAGCAGTGAGCATAGCATGGGGCCTTCTGTGTATAAGTTATGGCTGTCAGCTTGGTGTTCTTATAAGACTCTTAACAGTGGGAGCAAGTGTCTCTCTGACTCCTTTGCCTACTTTGGAACATTTTTCTTCCTATTGGGTTGTCTTGTCAGCTTCAATAGGAAGGCTTTTGGCTTGTCTTATTGTGTTGTGTTTTGTCCTGTCTGGCTGTCATCTCTTGGAGTCCTGACAGTTTCTGAAGGAAAATGAAGAAGTGGATCCGGGGCAGAGGGAAGGTGGTGAGGAGCTGGCAGGAGTGAGGAGAAGGATAACTGTGGGCGGGATCTATTATATGAGAGAAGAATCTATTTTCTATTTAAAAAGGGCTCAGAAATGTTCCAAATCATTGTGGTTTTCTCAATAGCATAACACACAAACACACACACACACACACACACACACACACACACACACACACACTACACACTACACATTCATTATAGAAATCCTTTTCAGGAGAAACAACTACCTTGCCACCTCCATAATGTTTTCAATGAATATTTTTACTATTCACTCAAAACTTAATCGTAATTCACATATTTCTTACATATCATAATTTACAGATTGTTCTGATTGAGACTTGTTTGAGCACCACCCAGAAGCGCTGTGTGATCTGTCACTCTCATTCTCTGACACATGAATTGCATGAAAGTTACCATTTTAAGTATTGTAGGTAAGGGGTTCAGTGGTACTAGCCCCTTAGAAGTCAATTAAAACATATAAACAGTGGGCCTGCAAGATAAACCTTGCAAGGCAAAGCCATCTTCCACAAAGCCTGGTGACCTGAAATTAAGTTACTCAATGGTGGAAGAAACCCACCGACGCCTGTGTGCTGTCCTCTGATCTTCTGACCTCCTCACACATGCCCTCCCCCAAATCTAAAACACATACACACATATATGGAGGAAATATATCATTAAATGTGGCCTTTGAGCATTTAAAAGCATTTAAAAGCACTCATTTCTAGTGTGCTCTCTCTGCTTGTTTGTGTTTTAAGATATAAACTCTCAGTCAGTGCTTCAGCTGTCGTGTCTGCCACCTTCTGCCATGATACTCCCCTTACTATGATCACTAATCCACTGGAATCATACACTGAGATAACCTTTCCTTCTGTAAGTTGTCTTGGTGATGGTGTTTCATCGTATAAACAGAATAGCAACTGATATGCATAGAAACACCAATTTTTTTTTCTGTATAATATTTCATGAACATTTAACACTAAATTTTTTTCTGTAAGTTTCATGAACATTGGGTTGCTTTCCATGTAAATGGAAAAAGAAGATACAATGCCCATCTCCCCTATACTATCAAATATGCATAAGGTCTAAGTTTGATCCAAAGAATTTGTGATGCAAGAAAAAACAGTGATGGATGTTTAAGCTAGAGAGAGTAAGACACTATTGTTGTAAGTCATTGGGATATGTATTTATACAAAATCTGTTAAATTACACTTATATCATCTTAATTAAGGTCTCTAAATCTAGTCTGAAGCATGTCAGTGCAAGTTTTTGTATCATCCTGTTTCAGTCAACAATTCTATTAAGTCAGTTTAGCACAAACCTCTGTCCTTACCTACGTGATCCTCCATATGTGATCAGGAGTTTCTTTCTCCACCTATGCCTGAGGTTATGACTCCTTACATGGCCAACAGCAAGATTCCTGTAGGTCTGTCTAGTCATAATCTTCTTAACAATTTTCAATCTACTGAGACACAGTCATAAAATTTACATATCCATCTATACGTGACACTAAGCACCCTCTCCTCTTACTATAGGATCCATAGTAATGACTTCTGTAGCTATAGCCTACTCTGGAATATAGTTTACCTAGATATTTTAAATCAGTAATTATTCAATTCCTATATATATTTTAATAAGAAATTATGACCTAATTTCTTAGGTGCTCCTGAATCCTCAATTCCTATAACTTTAAGAGTTGTGGTCTACCTCTGGTCCCTTATAATCCAAGAATTAAATTTGAAAAACAAATGATGTTGTTAGATATAATGTCGATGGTGAAGACACTAAAACTCAACTTATATTTCTGAGGACAGCAGGACCAACATTTTGTGCTTTTTCTGTGGACAGGAAGACAAGAGCTTATTGTACTTGAAGGAGCACCAGGGACAGATCAAAGAAATGATTACAACTAAGCTAAGAGTATCAAACTATTGAGTTTATTTGTGTTGATTACTTAAGATTGGATGAAGGGCTATTTGCAATAGAATGAGTGACTCTAAGTAGCCATTCCAGCCCCAAATCCCACAGCATCCTAGGTGATAACCTAAAGAACTGCATCCCTGGAACTTCCTCCAAAACTTGGGGAATAAGA